CTGTTTGACCTTGAATATTGTTTTGTCTCTTATTTGTATTGCTACTATTGCCTTATCTTTCTTATTATATGTCTATTATAGGATTTTCTCTTCATTTTCAGTCTCTACCACTATTTTATATGTCCTCATAAATAGAATATAGCTGGGTTTTGCTTGTTTTATTTTATTTTTTATTTTTTTTTTTTGAGAGAGTGGGCATGGGGGAGGGGCAGAGGGAGAGGGAAAGAAAGAATTTTAAGCAGACTCTATGCCCAGCACGGAACCTGATGTGGGGCTTGATCTCAGGACCCTGAGATCATGGCCTGAGCCAAAATCAAGAGTTGGATGCTTAACTGGCTGAGCCACCCAGGTGCCCCAGGTTTTGCTTGTTTTAAATACCAATCTAAGAATCTATCTTTTAAATAGTCAAATTAGTGTATGCATATTCATAGTAATCAGTGATATGTTTGGGTGTATTTTTGCCATCCTATTTTTTCCTACTTTACATGATTTCTTATTCTTTAGCTTCTTTCCTGCCATTCACTGGTTTGGTCAAGTTTTATTTTTGTCCTGTTTATGTTTCTTTACTTTTTGTACCATCTTACATGAATGCCCTTAAGTTTTAGTGATGATTATTTTATTTTATCTAATGAAATATTTCACTGCGGAAAGATGGTATACAAAAATATCATTAAAAAATACCTAGGCTCCTCCAACCAAGTTCAGAAACAAACCATTACAAATATGCTTCAAGGTCCCTACATAGTTTTCCCTTATCATAGCCCTCTTCTAGCCAGAGATAACCTCTTTGCCGATATTGATGTTTATCATCCTATTATTTTCTTTATACTTTAACAGCATATGCATTTATTTAAAATGTTACTTTATTTTGCTGCTGTAAACTTTGGTATTTTATGGTTAGTTTTCCAGCTTTTTTTCTAAATAAAAAATGTAGAGAAATTTATTGCCATTTCAAAGTATAACTCAGGTGAATCAGAACAAAAAAAATCATTAAGTTGACATTAAAATATATTATTTGACCAGAGTTGTCTTTAGGAGATTTCTCTTTTGATAGGCAATTCGGCCCCTAATATAGTGTAATTTGGTATAAATATATTGTGGATATATATTTTTAAAGATTTTATTTATTTATTTGACAGAGAGAGACACAGCAAGAGAGGGAACACAAGCAGGGGGAGTGGGAGAAGCAGGCTTCTGGCCGAGCAGGGAGCCTGATGTGGGGCTCGATCCCAGGAACCTGGGATCATGACCTGAGTCGAAGGCAGATGCTTAATGACTAAGCCACCCAGGCGCCCCCATATTGTGAATATTTTTAAAGTCCTATAAAAACATGTTTTATGATGGTCCATCATAAATAAACAATAATATATATTAATATAAATTAATTGGTGGATGCATTTTTGAGTTTGTACAGTGTTCTAGAAAGACCCTACTTTCTCCACCATATTGTATATCAAATTGGATATTCCTCTTGTGTTGCATTTGTCAAAATGAGCTCAGTAGGATCTGTTTCTTTTATATATGTCAAGTTGTATCCATTCAAACTATGGCATTCCCACACAAAACCCACATGAGAATATGTTAGGAAAATTCAAAATATTTTACAACCACATTAGCAAGTGTTTCAGCAAAACATACTCTCCAGCTTTATTTTTGGACTCAAAATTAAGGTTTTTTGGTTTGCACCGTGTCGATATATAGTATTGGACATGTGGTTGGTGAGCCTCCCTGACGAGATCCCTTTTACTACCTCCTTCCTTCCAGTTGTGTCCCAGGCTTTCTGTCCACACCCTATCGGACTGGGGCCAATTGGTCCTTTGTCTGTGCCAGACTCTTCCCCTTGCTTCCTGTCACACAGCCAGGTAGACCAACCCCATACGCCGAGTTTCCAGTTCTTCTCACTGCTTCTATACTTGAATGGAGCAGTATACTACAGGGTTAAGTGACACACACTCCACTCTGAGGCCCAGTTTCGCCTCATGGCCTATCTGCAGAAATCTCAGATGCTGGGTGGACCCACGTGCTGAGCAGCCTTCAGTGTCTCTTCTTGGTTCACCGGGACAAGTTAACCAGCAGGGTAAAATGGACTTTGTTACTCATCTTTACTTGCCTTTTTTCTCATGCATGCTGCCTTAGATTTCCATCTCCTCAATAAATTATTCTTTATTCTTTAACCCATGTCTCAGGTTCTGTTTATTAGAGACTCTGTCAAAGAATAATATAGCCCTGTTTGTTTCCCCTTTGATGTATCAGTTTACATTTCTACCTATAAGACCACAGCTTAGGATGCCACGATGAAACACTCAAATTGAATAGAATTTGTGCTCCTCCATCAACTTAGATCATCTTCATGACATCTAAGATGACCTTTATATTCTATTAATAGAAAACTGAGTTCATGGCACCCTCTTCTACTTTTTTCTTCCTGCCTCAACCTAGGCCTGCTTCCTCTCAGGTATGCTGTCTATCTCAGTGAATAATCGCATGAACCTGGAGACCATTTGTTCCCACTCCTTACCCAAATTCATTTTATTCACCAGGTTTTTCACTTCTACTCCTAAATATTTCCTGAATCCGCTTCTCTCTTCACTTTCCCACTTTCATGGCTTAAACATGGCAGCCACCATTTCTTACTCAGACCATTTCAGTCCTCTCTCAGTCAGGCTCTTTTCTTTCAGTCTCTGCAGTCTCTAGTCTATCCTTGAACGTGCCGCCATCATATTTTAAAGTGATACCAACTAACACTTGCTAAAAATCTCTTCAGTAACCCCCCATTGCCAAAATTATAACATATAATGCAAACTCCTAGCATGCCATACAATGACCTTTGTGCTCACATGGTTCCTATCCAGCTATTTGAGTTTTCTAAATATGCCAAGTTTTTTTACTCTTGAGAGGTGTTTTTTTTTTAACATGTCATTTCTCCCACCTGATATATCCTTCTCCACAGTCTCTGATAAATTCCTAGTAATCTCTAAAAGACAGCCCAGTGGTCATATCATTTCTTCTCTTAGGCCTTTCCTGATGTCCACATCACTCCTTCTTGAGTGATGATGCAATTCTCTCCATGTTTGTCTTACACACTTCTTGTAGGAATGGTCTCAAGGCAAAGGCAGATGAGCAAGAGAAGAAGTAGAAACATGTAGGTACTTTTTCAAGCCTCTGCTTGGGTCAAGTTTGCTAAAATCCTATTGGCCAAAGCAAGTAACAGGGAAGAGTCCAGAATCAAGGATGGAAGCAGAACGACCTGCCAGAGTAAGAAGGAACTGCAAAATTCTGTGGAAAGGGGCAAGGATAAAGGAAGGGTGAACAGTTAGGGCCATTAGCACAACTGATCTACCACATACTGTGAATATTTATTCCTGAAAACCTGGGTCTCCATAGAACCTTTTTCTTGAAGCATACTCAGAGGCTATGTACAGTGATGAAATTAACCAAATCTCTGCTTGACAATGCACTGTACAGGAGTAAAAGACATAATGGGTGACTGAAAACCATGAGCTTTTGGAAGGGATACTCACTTTAAATATTACAAGCACATCTTGCCAGTTAATGTCATGGCTTTAGTGGTTTTACTTGTCACTACTTTTAAGAGGTGTGATTTTAGAGAGCTGGATGTTGAGTGAGATTGACAGGAAGAATTCAGGAAAAAATAATATGAAGATGGATATTATAAAGTAAATACAACACAGTAATTTGTTGCCACAAACTGAAAAGTAAATGTGTTATGCTCTTTTTGTGATTCTGTTGAATTAATAGATCCTGAGTTCCAGACAGATCAAAATGCACCTTAGGGACTCTGTTTTTCTTTTTCAAATATGAAAGAATGAGAGAGAAAAAACATCTTTAAAAAGCTGTATTAGGTTATCCATGAGAACTTCAGTGACTATGTAATGAATATGTATTGACATTAGACCAATAACTGAGTGACAGCCAAAATTGTTTACCCAGTCTCTTTGCTTGTGGTCTATTTAAGCAGATGGTTCTGCATGCTTTTGAAAGAAACTTTGCTTGAACCTAAGCTTGAATAAAGAAACATACCAAATGAACCCCATGGGGATTGAAAAGCTGAGTCTTGGACATGAAAGGACTTGGCACTGAATGGGAATTTTAAGCTAATCATAAATTATTGTGGCTATAACAAAGGATTGGATTGAATGAATCCATGATTTTACCTTTTTTTTCTTAGATGGTATTATATTACCGTTATTACCTCCACTCTTTATTCCTCTTAGTGGTTGTCATATATACATAGATATTTGTGAGGGATGGCCTAACTCTTGATGGATGGAGGGGCCCATTATACAAACAGAGCCATCTGGGGCTAAAGAGAAGTCAAACTGGATAGCTGACATTGAGGCAATCAGCGTAAGGACAATTCACTGGAAAAATTTAATAGTCTATTCCCTTGGGTAATAACTAAATATTATATTAATGATACTAACAGTATTAATGGTAAGAGCATTAAGTACTATTTCTTGACCTCTGGCTATATGTTAGGTACCTGGTAAGTGTATTTTATGTGTTATCTCTTATGGAGGTCAGTCTTATTGCCCCCCGTTCTGGAAAAGGAAACTAAAACTCAGAAAAGGTAATATTCATGGTCACACAGTTAGTTATGGGGACAACTCACTTGTAAACTCAGGTTAGTAGGACTTCAGGTTTCCTGCTTTTTTTATGACTAAGGTTGTCACTTCGTAGAAGGACTTGATTACTAGATAGGTTACCAAGAAAATCAGCCCCTCTCCCCCCACAAAAATAAGTGATTACCAGAATTTGGATACAGGGTTCTTCTCGGGATCACTTGTCAGTAATGAGGCTCAGAGTAGGACAAGTAAAGAATATCTTCATGCTGAGTCCCGCAGTGTTGGATAAGACTGGAGGCATTCAAGTATTAAAGTTTCCTTTGCTTATTTTAAAAACGGGTAATAAGATCAGAAGCCCACCCATACTGGTTATTCTGTTTCTTCCCTTAAATCCATTTTCCCCCATTTTCTGCTCTGTTCTAGGTGCTCGGAGGCTGACGTCCACAGAGGGCATTAGTCAGCTTGTTCTGTGGATTCTGGTGGGATTCGATCAGTGCGAAGCACCAGTTGGAGACTAAAGTGTGAGACAGAGACTAGGGTAAGTGTTCCTGCCCACCCCCGTCCTGGCGGCTACCGCCTGCTTTCACACCTACAGTTCTCAAAGGCAGCGCCTCTTTCCTGCCAGAGGCCCCGGCTCCCACAGGGTTCTAGCCAGCACTGCTCTGCTTATTGCTTCTCGAGCCTGCTGTTGCTAGCTAATTGGGTCCTGCCATCCATACTGGATGCTTTACACTTGCCACATCTCTGCATTTTATTCCTTTGTTGAATTATTTTCAGTGAAATCTTTCCCAGTGTGCCATCTACTTCCTGCCTGGAACTTTAATACAAAAGGGACCCTATGCCACGGGTTACACCTACTGCCTTGGGGTAATTTTTAAGCTACTTTCTATAAGCTTTATTGAGGTATAATTGATAAACAACTGCACATATTTAATGTGTATAATTTGATGTTCGATGAGTTGGGACATACATAAACACCTGTGAAACCATCACCACCATCGAGGTAATAGATGTATCTAACACTTCCCAAAGTTTCCTTGTGTCTCTTTGTTTTTTATTTTATGTGTTTAGGGTAAGAACACTTCACATCTACCCTCTTAACAAATTCTGAGGTGCACAGTACCATATTGCTAATATAGGCACTATGTTGTACCTAGAACAACATGGATCTCTAGAACATACTCATCTAGTATTAACAGAAACTTTATACTCATTGAACAATAACTCCCCATGGTGATTTTTCGTACTCCTCTTTTACTCTCAAAAGTATCCTGGGTTGGGGGTAATTTATATGGTCATCCTGTTGATATACCATTTAAGTGTTAATTTTATATTCTTATTTTTCTTAATCCAAAAACCGTGGAGGAATTGGGAACTGAATTCACAAAGGCAGGATAACAAAATACATAATGCTTCAGAGTCAGAAAGAGGAGGATATTACTCCCACTTGTTACTCATGAGCTCCGTACACTTGGGTCATTTAGTTAATTTCTCTGAACATGTGATATTATCTGTAAAAGGAGAAGAAGCAAACCACAGTGAAGGATTGTTTTAAACAACAGAGAATATGTAAAGTGTCCTGCACATAATAGGTGCTTAGTAATATTTTCTCAAAATGATTATGACTGATATACACATATTTATCTTTGAACTCTTACAACAATCCTTGATACAGAGCAGGTATTCAAAAATGCTGAATGGAATTATTTAATGGATGATTTTCAAATGTGAATCACTTATAAACCAAAACTGGATTCTTAGCTATCTTCAGTTTTGAAATAATTTTTCATAATGATCCTCTTTAACACTGTAGTTTTCCTTACACTTATTTTTTTTAAGATTTTATTTTTCAGTAATCTCCACATCCAACATGGGGCTCGAACTCATGACTCTGAGATCAAGAGTCACATGCTCTACCTACTGAGCCAGCTAGGCACCCCTCTAATTTTCCTTAAATGAGTTTCTAAGAAGTATAGAATTATTACTTCCAGTTTCAATTGCAATTATGAATGTAGCCTGTTAGCTTGTTTGGTGTTAATATGGGCAGTCAAGTCTAGCCCACTAGTTGATCTGTTCTGAGCAATAAGTAAAGGGGACTGGATAAAAATCTCAGTACCTACTTTCAGGCTATTGATTGTAGGCTGAAGCAGAGTGAAGAGGGCTTCTTCTTACTCTTAGACCAAAATACTGAGGAACTAAGGTGGAATGGTACTTGCATATGACCCTTAATAACTGTAATGTGGGCTCATAAAAATTCCAACTGGCCCAGGCATGGCCTATCGGAACAGGGCTGAAGGCTACTTGGCTTTTCCCGGGGCCACTTTACCATTGTTATGGAGGATCTCTACATCCCTTTGTGAATACTCTCTGAACCGTGGGGCCATGTTATGGCTAGTGTAGTACCTTGACAACTTTAGCTTTTCATCAAAGTTCTATCTAAAGCCACCTCAAGAAACGCAAATGAAATTATTTATGTCCAAAGATGATGTATACAAACTGTGTCTAGTACATGATATATAGGTAAAATTTCTTTGTTGCATAAACATGAATTTCCTTTCTCTCTTTCTTACTCTGAACAGGATAGCTACTGTAAGGGATATAATATTGGTCTGATAGGATGGTGTCCTATCCTATCACACATAACAACTAGTAGAGAAGAAATTAATGCTGTTAACTCTATCCTGCACTCATATGTCAACATTTATTTACATCTGATTCACAGGCATTAGGCAACACATTGGGGACATAAAGACAAATAAACCATAATCTACTATTTTCAAGAAGTTCAACCTCTCTTGTAATTTTTGTCTGCTTCCTCACCCATTGTAATCAATTACTCTCCATAGAGTCCCCTTGGACTTTGTTCAGACGTAAGGTATAATTTTTATAATTAAGAATACACAAACCAATCTTCATCATTGTTATAAAGTGCACTACCCATGTTATATTATTTACACATCTCTCAGTGACCTGTCAAGGGGTCTTGCTAAATATTTAATGTTAAAATGTCCCTATCGAAGAGCGATCTTGTGGCTTATGGTGAGTTATAAGCCTTGTTTTATAACAGGCACAAATGATCCCTTAAGGATCACAAAACTCAGTGTAAAATACAAAACTATAAAAGTCTCAGAACACAGGAGAAAATCTAGATTACCTTGGGTATGGTGGTGATTTCTCAGATACAACATTAAAGGTATGATCCATCAAAGAAATAATTGATAAGTTGGACTTCATTAAAATTTAAAACTTGTGCTTTGAGAAAATAAGAGAATGAAAAGACAAGCCACAGAATGGGAGAAAATATTTGCAAAAGACATGTCGGATAAAGGACTGTTAACCAAAATATACAAAAAACTCTTGTATGTGCAAGAAATTCTCCACTGGAGATCTGGAACATATGTCAACATAGAGACCAGAGTAAACAAAAAGTTTGGGTTTGGAGTAAGAGTTCTTATTTCCTTTCTTTATTCTTTGCCAAGTGTAATTTGTACACATTTTTTTTTTTTTTTAAGAAAGCATAGCATCAGATGCCTAATTACCTTCTACAGTAGTCACTGGCTCATCTGTAATCAGTAGATATGTGTAGAGATGGCTTAAAAATAAAACCTTTAAAAAAATATATGTATATATATAATCACTAGATACATTGAAAGCTGAATATTGCTACTAGAGAGTTGATGGCTATAAACTTTGAAAGAAAGGACAAAAACAGGTAACTGAGCTTTTTATAAAAAGAAGGAGTAATTCTCTAGTTTCTACTGTTTCCTTTTGAAGTTCTAGAAATCAAGAACCCTATTCAGAGAATATAGGTAAGAATGTTTTAGTTCAGATCTACTGGGCTCTGAACACTTAATTTCAAAGTTAGATATATGCAATATAAACCATTAAAAAGTCTACATTTCATACTACCTGGGGAAAAAAGTGACAGAATGGCCAGCTATGAAGTTGGTTTAGTTTGCCTTTAGCATGACACCTTCTTTCTGAGCTTAACCCCCACTTCAATCTTTTGCTCTTCTCTCCCTCACAATCCTTGCCCCACCCACTGCTTTCAGGCTTTATCCAGTTGTTCTCATGAAGGAAGGAATGGTATGATAAATGGATTCATACTAAGAGACTACAGTTCTTTGTTTCTCAGAGTCTGTTCCCCAGAGCGGAGAAATTGGCATCACCACGTTTACTGAGTAAGAATCTGCATTTTCATAGGGTCCCCATGTGTTCTGTATACATTGTAATAAGATAACCAGGAGATTCATATGCACGTTCAACTTTGAGAACACTGGCAGGAACGTGGCTATTTTCCAGTGTGATCCCCGGGGGAGCAACATCAGCATCAGCATGGAATCTCTTCGAAATGTAAATTCTCAGGCCCCAATCCGGACCTTCCACATCAGGAGCTCTGGCAGTGGGACCCAGCCATCAGCATTTTAAGAAGCCCTCCAGGGGATTCTGCTGCTTAAAGAAAAAATGTGAAGACCACTGTTGCAGAGCATCTACATATAAGGAATTGCTCATTTCAGAATTGTAGAGCTCAGTGCAACATGAAACGTGGAAAGGGCAAGTAGTTTTATCTCATAGAACCTCCTGGCCTTCCTTCAATTTACCTAATCTTGAAATTCGAGACTTTTGCAAAAATGCCCTAGGTATGCTTTTCAGGTTAGCCTATTAACTTGTCTCATACTTTCTGAGAGTGAATCCCTTGATACCACTTGGTTTAATTCAAGAATTCTCCATTCCTTGAGCTATACCAGCCTGTGAAATTTTATACTAGCAGGACATCGGGCTGTATACCCATCTTAATTAGCTGCCGATGACATGGAGATCATGGACTTACTGGAATTACTTCAGCAACTTAAAAACCTCTGCAAAATTGAACTCTCTATCTTTTCTTTTTCTCCCTTAGCTCATTGCCCAGATGCCCCTTGTTTAAATTTCTTAGCATTGCTTTTTAATCTAAACTGGTGTCTGTGCGTTTCTGTGTTTGTAAGTCGATTCACTAATGTTTCAGATCAGAGGCCGTTGCTAGTAAATATTACTGCAAGGAGCCATTCTTCACTGGTTTTAATGTGCTTTTCAACTGAAGGAGTGGTGATTAATGCTGCTTAAACTCCAAAGTAAACAAGAAGTATATGAAAGTATGAATGATTGCCCTTAATAGTGATCACACTGTAGAATAGGGCAGTTTCCTACAGTGAAAGTAGTTACAATACTTTTATTATTTTAAGATAGCCTCTAGTGTTCTTCCAAGACTAGACAATGGATTAGTGGGATGGCTAGGCAAAAATATTCTGTACTATTCAAATAAATTGTCTGCTGTTATTTAAAGCCTTTTTCCCGATGTTAAGCAAAGCAAAATTGCTCTCTGCGGAAAGCCTTTTCCAGTGGTATGGCTCTTAGTTCATTTCACCATTATGGCATTGAATGAGTTGCTTTTACATTCAATAATGCTTACTTTGTTACAAACTATGAAATACTTGTTCTACCTTACATGGAGGTGTAAAGAAGTTAGTCTTCATGCCCAAGATAATTGAAGTGATCCCT